TAGGCCACCAGAGCTCCCCTGAGTTCCTTGTTTTTCAATGCAGCATAGTATTCCATTGTGCGAATATACCACAGCTTCTCTACCCATTCGTTTGTTGATAAATTATGCATACTGCATTGAAACAGATGAGGGAGAGAACTGTTTAAAAGTGATATATGATTGGGTATTATGGTTATGACAAGAATCCAGAACGAAGGTTACATAGTGGAGTGTACTCGGGGTGGGGAGGGGGGAGAATGAAAGAATTTTTCTTTTATTTTTCAAAGAGAAAAGTGAACTGGGGGGAGGGGTGTGCAGGGAGAAAAATGCAACAATGAATGAATGGAAATCCAGAATCTTTGTAAAGGTTCATTAAAATTAATAAAATATAAAAAAAAGATACCAGGGGGGAAAAGTCTATGATATGCAGATGACACAACCTTTTAAAAAAGGGGAAAAAAAGAAAGATCTGGTGATTGACTTCTGTCAAGTTTACAGCCTACAAAAAACCCTGTTATTGTTGTGTACCATCGAGTTGGAACTGACTCATAATTGATTTCCTAGTGGGTTTTCAGAGTCCGTTAATGACAAGGGAGATTGCCCATCATTCTCCCACAGAGCAGCTAGTGGATTTGAACCATCTGCCTTCAGATTGCAGTGCTTGAAAATCAATTTAAGTTTTGTGTGTGGAGAGTCCGACACTGCCAAACGCTTGACAGTCACCACAAAGTTCAATCGTTTTGTGACTTCTGACCGCAGCTAGAACCACAAATACCACTTCAATGGCGCCTTGCATGTGCACAGGAAGATCATGTCCTCCTCGCTGTTCAAGGAGCTGTGGTGGCAGAAGTACAATGTGGGCTCCATGCCCATCTATAAGGATGATGAGGTCCTGGTGGTACAAGGACACTAAAAAGTTCAGGAAATTAGCAAGGGAGTCCAGGTATACAGAAAAAAGTATGTCATTTACGTGGAAAGAGTGCAGCTTGAGAAGGCTAATGGTAATATTGTGCATATGGGCATTCACCCAAGCAAGGTAGTTATCATCAGGTTGAAATTGGATAAAGATTGGAAAAAAATTTCTTGAACTTAAAGCCAAGCCTTGGCAAACTGGAAAAGAGTAAGGCAAATATAAGGAAGAACTGATTGAGAACATGCAAGAATGAATGCAACCTGATGAGCAACTGCAGTTTAACTTGATTTCTGAGTATGTGTTTTTGAGAACATTCCAAAACTTCCCTCTCCTTCAGAAGTGTCTCTATAAATCCGCCTTTGCAATTTTTATTCATATCCCAATTGAAAAAAAATCAATTTGACTATACCTGGATCAGGAGGTTATTGTGTGAATGGATCAGGGGAGCACTGAATGGTTTGGAATTGGAAAGGGAATGCATCAGGGTTGTATTCTCTCCATACCTGTTCAATCTATATGCTGAGCAGATTATCCTAGAAGCTTTACTCTATTTTATTTTATTTTATTATTATTTGTGTGTGTACGTGTGTGTGTCTGTGTACCGTCAAATCAGATCTGACTGGTACTGGAGGAGATTGTCCCTCCTTTCCCGGCAGAGCATCTGGTGGATTCGAACCATGTACCTCTGGAATTGCAGTGAAGCTTCTTGCCACTAGGCCACCAGAGCTCCCCTAGAAGCTGGACTCTATGAAAAGGAAAGCGGCATCAGGTTTGGAGGAAGACTCATCAATAAACTGTGTTATGCAGATGACTCTTTTTTACTTGCTGAAAGTGAGGAGGACTTGAAGCACTTGTTGCAGAAGATCAAGGAATGCAGCCTTCAGTATGGATTGTATCTCAATATCAAGAAAACAAAGATTCTTACCACTGGACCAATAGGCAGTGTCATGATGGATGGAGAGATTGAAACTGTCAACAGCTTCATCTTGCCTGGATCCACAATTAACACCCTAGGTGTGAGTAGTCAGGAAATAAGGAGACACATTAGACTGGGAAAATCTGCAGTTAGAGACCTTTCCAAATTATCGAGGAGTAGTGATGTCAGTTTGAGGACTAAGGTGTGACTGATTCTGCCATAGTCTTTAAGATTATTTGCTATGCATCCGAGACTTGGACAGTGATTAAGAATGGCAGAAAAAGAATTGACGCCTTTGAGTTGTGATGTTGGAGAAGAGCACTGAACATCCCATGGACGGACCAAGAGAATGAACAGATATGTCTTGAAGAGGGTACCACTGGAGTGCTCTTTGGAAGCAAGAATGATGAGGCTTTGCCTCATATACCAGAGGAATGTCCGTCTGTGTTTCACTGACTATGCAAAGGCATTTGACTGTGTAGATCATAACAAACTATGGCTGACTCTGAGAAGAATGGGAATCCCAGAACACTTGATCGTTCTAATGCGATACTTATACTTGGACCAGGAGGCAGGCGTCAGAACAGAGCAAGGGAACACTGCATGGTTCAAAATTGGGAAGGGCGTATGCCAGGATGCATCCTATCTCCATACCTTTTCAACCTGTATGCAGAACAGATTATCCGGGAGGCTGGGCTCTATGAGGAGAAATGTAGGGTCAAGATTGGTGGACGATTTATCAACAACCTGCGTTATGCGGATGACACAACCCTGCTTGCTGAAACTGAAGAGGACCTGAAGCGCTTGCTGCAGAGTGTCAAGGACTGTAGCCTACAATATGGATTGAGGCTCAATGTCAAGAAGACAAAGATTCTCACCACTGGACCAATTGGCAGCATCAGGATGGATGGTGAAGAGACTGAGATTGTTCACAGCTTTAGTTTGCTTGGCTCCATAGTCAACAGTCTTGGCACCAGCAGCCAGGACATTAAAAGGCGCATTGCCGTGGGAAAGTCTGCTGTTAGGGACCTCTCTAAAGTACTGAAGAGCAATGGTGTCTCTCTGGAGACTAAGGTGCGTCTGATACAGGCTATGGTCTTCGCAATCACTTGTTATGCATCAGAGAGTTGGACAATGACGAGGAGAATTGATGCCTTTGAGCTGTGGTGCTGGAGAAGAAAGAGTATTGAGAATACCATGGACTGCTAGGAAAACAGATTTGTCCTGGAAAGGGTTAAACCGGGTGGCTCCTTGGAGGCAAGGATTCTGAGGCTCCATCTAACATACTTTGGACATGTTGTGAGGAGAGACTGGTCCTTAGAGAGGGACATCATGCTTGGGAGGGTGGAGGGACAGCGCAGGAGAGGAAGGCCCTCTATGAGGTGGATTGATTCAGTGACTGGGATAATTCGGATGGGAGTGTCAGAGACAGTGCGATTGGCACAGGACAGAGCAGAGTTTAGGGCTGTTGTACATAGGGTCGCTATGAGTCGCAAGCGACTTGACGGCACATAACAACAACAACAACTTTGGATATGTTGCAAGGAGAGGGACATGATGCTGGGAAGGATGGAAGGTCAGTGAAGGAGAGGAAGACCCTCAGTCAGGTGGATTGACATGGTGACTGCTGCAATGGGCTCTTGTGCATCAGGAAGTGTGAGGAACAGGGTTCAATCTTTTGTTCATAGGGTCACTTTGAGTCGTGCTCGTCTCAATAGCACTTAACAACAGCAGCAACAACAACTACAAGAACAACAGGTGAAATTACCATTTTTACTTAGTGTTGAATATTTTATTTGTCTTTCATTTTTGTGTCTTCATTAGTGAACTGCTCATTTTCTTTCAAATTAACTGATAAAGTATTTGACCTGGTTTGTCACTGTTTTCACTTTGTGCCACACAGAAATGTTTATAAACACAAAAAGGTGTAACAAATGTTATAGTTTTCCTCCTTGTGTGGTTTCTGCATGTTCTGTGTTTGGAAAAGCTGCCTTTATGTCCAAAAAATTTCATTAATTCTTCCATATTTCTGACCCATTTTTTTTGCCAGATTTGAAATTCTTAGATCTTTGATCAAACTATGTGAGAAGTGAGGTAGGAAATGCAGCTTTACTCTAATTGTTTATCACCCTGGTATATAATGAGTGTTCTGTTTTTGTTGATGGTTTGTTTTATGTTGTTGTTGAAACCAACTTGTAGCTTACCCTCCAGAAGGTTTTTTCAAAGGCTGTGAATCTCTCAGGAGGAAATTGCCCATCTTTGTGCCTCAGAGCAATTGGTGGATTCGAACAGCTTGTCTTTGAATTGGCAGCCTAACTCCTTACCACTTAGACCACCAGAGTTCCCTGTCGACTGTTCTACTTGTCCTTAATGACAGACTATCTATTGCTATCCAATCAATTCTGACTCACAGATACCCTCCATTGGTTTTCCAAAACTCTAAATCTTATTGGGAGGAGACTAGAGGCACTGAGCCTTTTGGTTAGCTGAGCTACACAGCCACCAGAGTGAAAAGAGAAAGGGCATAAGCGCTCTCTGGATTCTAGACTTTCTGGAGCCTAAGGGACTGGATAAATCCTGAAACTATGACCCTGAGATAATTTTTAAAACTTAAACCAAAATATCCCCTTAAGTCTTCTTAAAACCAAACAGTAATTTAGCTTGCTGTTATGTGCCATCAAGTCTCATAGTCACACTATGGCCAATAGCTCAGAACCCCACCCTATATCCTGAGCCAGTCACACTGTCTCCTCCTCATTACCCCACTGTGTCAATTAAAAAAAAAAGGGGGGGGGGGAAGCCTTGCTTTGCTCTTTTTAAGATATACGATCACAGAGGCAGTATCAACGCAAAAGATTAAATAGGAATTTTAGGGAGAGGGGAGTTAATGTTGAAGGGTGAGGAACAACTCAGAAAATGTTGGTGAAAATCATTGCACAACTAGAGGATTGTATTCAACGTCACTGAACGGTACACGTAGAAATGGCTGGGTTTGGAGTATGTTTTGCTTTTATATTGTCAGCAACACGCCTAACAGTGCTCTGTGGGGAGAAAACAAAGCCCCATTTCTGTGTCCTTGTCTGAGAATCCCGGGAAACCAGCGGAACGCAGGTATGCGAGGGCCGGGATCCGGAGGAGCCAGTCCGCCAAGGACTGTACGGCAGCGGGGGAGCGGTTTGGTGGGGACACAAGGCCGCCCGGAGGCCGCCACGATGCTACGCTCCTTGCAGGAATCGCTGGACGGGGATGAAAAGGAGCTGGAGAGCAGCGAGGAGGGTGGCTCTGCCGAGGAGCGGAGACTCGAGCCACTGCCTAGCAGCCACTACTGTCTCTACAGCTACCGCGGAAGCAGGTGGAGGCGCCCGGCCCCGCCGGCCCCGCCACCCATGCGGCCCCGCCCCGAGCCCGCCAACGGGCCCTGCACCCCACCCTGGCCCAAAGACTAGATCGCACCTTACGCCTTCTCTCCCAGCCAAGGTCTCACGAAGCCCTCCCTTCCCTGTTTCCACCCGGACCTTTATGTCCGTGCCGTCGCAACCCTCTGGCCCCCATCTGCCCATTTTCCCAGCCCCATCTTACTCCTGCACTTTGTTCAGTGGCGTGCCTGGCACCCTCAATGATGTCAGTTCCCATGCCTTGTGTGTTCGAGCTCACGATCCGGAATTTCTGGCACATACTCCACCCCCGCCACCAAAACCGAGTATCTTCTGACCGTTACAGCCTCTTTTCCATACTCTCAGACTGGCTGACGTTCTTGGGACCTAACTTGTTAGAGGAAGTGACCTAGTGCTTTCCTAGTGTTTAGCTACTCCTCACCCTATTAAAAGGGTTTTTCTCGTTCGTTTTCTCAGCCAGGAGGTTAGGCAATGGAGGGGGCATGCTCTTATACCTTGCATTTTTAGTTGCCTTTGTCTGCATTGAGTTGGAGCTCATAATTGAAAGCAGTACTGCTCTTGTGGCTTGCAGATTGACCCAACAGCGAGGGGACAGTGATGATGGAAGTGGCACAAATGCAGAAACTCCCTCCAGTGATGATTTCAGGTAAAACCTTCTTAACCTTATCCACCCATGTCCTTTTATTTTTTCTGCTCTTCTAGCCTGTCGATGTTGGTGGTACCCTGTTTAACGACACTTTTCCTTCCACCAAGCCTACGGATCAGTTCCATCTCCTAGGAGCCCGATTCTAATTGCCATATTGACTTCATAAGGCTGGCGGAGAGCCAAACCTTGATAGTGCCCTTGGTAATTAGCCAGAAATCATATTCTCAGTTTCTTTCTTAGAACTTTAGTGAAATACTGAATATATTGCTTTCACAGTGCCCCTTAGAGGTAGGGATTGTGAAACTTCATCTCACATAATTTGGGTATGTTGTCAGGAAGGGCCAGGCCTTGGAGAAGGACATGCTAGGAGAAGTGGAGGGGCCAGAAAAAGAGAGGAAGATCCTCAACGAGATAGATTGACACAGTGACTGTAGCAATGGGCTTGAACACATCAGAGATGATGAGAATGGTGCAAGGGAGGGGAAAGTTCAGATCTGATGTTCATAGGGTTGCTGCATGTCATATTCTACTGGATGATACCCAATAATAAAATCCACACAATAATGATTTGTAGCAACTCTACTACACACTTGAATGTAAACTTCAGTACAGCAGGGATTATTGTCTTCTTTGTTTATTATATCTTTTTTTCAAGTACTTTGGTGCCTGGCACAGGATAGGCATTTAAGAAATAATTATGACAAATGAATAATGAATAAACAAACATTAATAATTAATGTGTAAATAAAGGTATGCAAAAAATATTGTTCAGGCAAGACTTGAGGGAGAGGGGAGAAAAAAAAATATTGTTCACTGTCTGCATAATAGGAATTTTCATGTTTAAGGAAAGTGTCTGGAGACTAAGGTGCGTCTGATACAGGCCATGGTCTTTGCAATCACTTGTTATGCGTCAGAGAGTTGGACAATGACGAGGGAGGACAGAAGGAGAATTGATGCCTTTGAGTTGTGGTGCTGGAGAAGAGTGTACCATGGACTGCTAAGAAAACAAACAGATTCATTCTGGAGAGGGTTAAACCAGCTGCTCCTTGGAGGCAAGGATTCTGAGGCTTTGTCTGACATACTTTGGACATGTTGTAAAGAGGGACTGGTCCTTGGAGAGGGACATCATGCTTGGGAGGGTGGAGGCACAGCGTAGGAGGGGAAGGCCCTCTATGAGGTGGATTGATTCCGTGACTGGTGGAATTGGGATGGGTGTATCGGAGACAGTGTGATTGGCACAGGATAGAGCAGGGTTTAGAGCTGTTGTACATAGGGTCATTATGAGTCACAAGCGACTCGATGGCACATAACAATAACAACATCATAATACTATGGTTATATATATTTTTTAAAGTTTTTCTCTTTGAGAGATAACATAGTAAAAAATATAAAATGAAATTATATGATTTCCAGAACTTGCTTCAAAATAATGTAAGGATGAGGGGGAGTGGAAAGGGACAGCCTGGGGTATAGATAAAACAATACTGGCCATGAGCTGAAGATTGTTGAGTCTAAGTGATAGGTACATGTGGGCTGATTATCTCATGGTGTATCGAGTCAGAATGAACTCATAGCTGACTTGCCAGCAGAGGTTTGGAGGGTTGTAAATTGCATGGGAGGAGATTGCTCATCTTCTGTGGAGCCCCTCGTAGATGCCACTGGAGGTACCACCTTTGGGTTAGCACAACTGCCTGCAGACTTGGCCGCCACAGCTCTCTTGGCCTTGTTCTGTTGTTTGTTGTTGTTGTTTTATGTTGTTGAGTCAGTTCTGACTTCCCAGCTGAGCCACCCATGGGTTGGCAGAGGCAGTTAGTGGCACAGGAGGAGACTCCCCATCCTTCTCCCATGGAACAGCTCATACTCTTCTATTTTTGTATGGTTAAAATTTTCCTTAATAAAGGTTGAGACAAAAAAAAAAAGACAACTTTGAAAACTACTGAGTTCCTAGTCTCTATTGTGAAGTTTGGTTATAGAAGACTGTCTTCTTGTACACTTGAGTCCCATTTTCTGTTTATATCTAAACTCACTGCCACTGAGTCAAGTCTGACATAATAAGCTTCCATTAATTTTCTTTTTTTAAAAATTTATTATTAATTTCAATGAAAATTTACAGAGACTTTGGATTTCCATTCATTAATTGTTGCACTTTTCTCCCCTCCCAGCCCTCCCCCTCCATCAAGTTTCTGAAGTTGTAAATCTTTATGGGAGAAGATTGCCCATCTTTCTCCTTCTGAATCGTTGGTAAATTTGAACCCTCAGAGACATGCAGCCTTTTGGGTAGCAACACCACACACTATGGACTGCACCATTAGAGCTCCTTATTTTATATTTTAATCAAAATAAAATTGAAATTTTTATTTTTGTTTCATAGCTAGGGTGCTCATTTGTAAGTAATAGATAGTTGGAGGGTTTATAAAAGATAGTGCATGAGATAATGATCGAGGAGAGCAAATGAACAACAGAATGTGGTGCCGGCTGGGCAGCAGTAAGGGCTCACTCAAGATCTGTGATCACTCAAGATCTGTGAGGCTGGAGACTGTGGATACTTGTTTCATCCAAGCACATTCAGTTACACAGGTGCAAATGCAGAGTAGGTGAAAAGCTGGCATCTTGCTAAACAAACACAGTGAGGTGAAAACAACAGAGGATTGATGAGAAAATATGCAGGAATGTCCTTATAGTGACTATTAAAAGAACAAGGAAGGGGGAAGAGCAAAGGCTACATGGGGATGGCCATATCTGACCTTTACCAACTTCACAAAGCAGAACTGCCCCTGTCAACAACATCAGTAACACAAAACTAATTCCCCTGAGGTCAGACATGGCCCCCATGCTTCTGTACCTCTTTCTACTCATCCCAGCACCAATCTTAACACTTTTCTGGGTCCAAAATCCAATGGAATAGCTCACAGGCCATACACAACCACATGTGGAACGCAAAGGTTTATAATCCAGGTTAGTAGCAGAATATAGTCAGGACAGCTTGCAGGTGCCTCAGCCTTGAACCTTGGGGCTTTAGATCAGTGTTACAAAGCTCTCAGTCCTGCCAATTATGGCTCTTCCCCCTTCAAGCTCTCCCAATTGTCCAGCAAACTTGGGCAAAGGCTCTTAGTTCTGGTTCCAGGGGATAGCAGTCCCAAGGTCCGCTCCATCTTGCCAGGTCTCTGGTTCTCTGCTGTTGTTGCTATGGCTGCTGCTCCCTAGGCCCTAGTCTACCACAAGAATCTCTGGTCCCAAAGGACGTGCTACATTCTCTTGCTTCTTCTTTGCTGGTGGGGAGGTTTCTTCTCTGCTGCTAGGTCTGCTCAATTAAATGGAGACACTAGCCAATCCCCTTGTGGATTGGCTAACACACCCTATTTGCATATTCCCACCTCCACATGGCAAAGTCAACGACAAATGGCAAGGTTTATTTTGAACAATAAATTCTTTAACACCAGAGTGACTAGCAATGGAAGTTAAGCTGGGCAAGGAGAAGGGAGATGCAATTATGTTGTGCAAAGGGTCATTCTGAGTGGGAATGGACTTGATAGTGGCACCTAACAACAACTGAAGGGATGTGAGATAAGTGACTCTGGAAAGGAGATAGACTCTGTAAGTTGGAGCGCTAGTGGACTTATAGTACTAGAGAACGTGAGCTGGGAAAAGAAATACTTTAAACTGTTTATTAAAGTTGCTCATACTTGGTGGCCTTCATTCTTAGAAATCTTATCGACAGGGCTCAGAGAGATAGATTTCTGTAGTCTTTAAAGAGACCCTGACTTAATTAACTTTTATCTGACTTATGAATTGTGAAGGCAGCAATCCCCTGGTAAGAAATTGTGTCTTTCATTTGACAAGCCTTTCCTTGGTGGACACTAATCTACCATCTGAAGTGGAGCCACAGCTGCGCAGTTTCATTGCGAAGCGTCTTTCGAAGGGAGCAGTCTTTGAAGGACTGGGTAATGTTACATTGATGGAGCTGAGGTAAGTGTATAAAATGTGCTGTGCCCTGGGTTCTGTATTCCTGAGCTAAATATGAGAAGTGATGAAAACCCCAAAAGGCCAGCTTTTACTCTTGCTGCAGAGTTTCTCTTTGTTCTTGGGCATTTGCAGTCCTGGGACTCATTTCCAGAGTCTTGTTAATACTGTGAGTGGAATAGCAGAGACTCCTCCTGCTAAACTCACTTTTACTTAGTTTACACCTGAAAGAAAAGAGTTAAATGTGCAACAATAAATGAATGGAAATCCAAGTTCTCTATAGTCTTTCATTAAAATCCTCAATTAAAAAAATAGTTAATTGCCAAAACTAAATAAAGTAACTCGAATTGTAGACATTGGGAGTTATAAAGTATTCATGAACTTTTATTAGTGTAGTTTACTCTAGAAAGCTTGAAGATAGACCAGATGAGGAAATTAGCTCAGAGAAGTTAAGTGGAATACCCAGGCTCATGAGTCTGCACACATCACTGGAGTCTGGGTGTTGACATAGGTGTCCTCTGTCCAACTTCCTTGTCTTTCCATCATAACCGTTGGTTGTATTTCACTTCAGACTGTGAAGTTGTCCCCTTCTCTTGGAATAGAGGCAGTTCTTAGTCCAAGGATCAGACCACAGGACAGACATCTACTTAGAGAATAAAAAGATAATAGTAATTTTAAAAAACCATGTTTATGAGGGACTGCTTTGGCTAAAGCCCACTAGAATGCACATTCATTGTCCTTTACTGTTTTGAATAAAAAGGAGAAGTCTGGGAAACAGACCTATTGGGCAGCGTGACCGTGTCCTCAGATGAGATGGCCAGGAAGTGGAGTAGTCCACAAATCAGGTGCTTAAGTCACCGGAATAACTCATTTGCCCTTTTGTCTTTTCTAGTTCTCCAGGTTACCGAGTTGGTTGTTATTACTGCCTCTTCCAACAAGAAAAACTGCTTCTTGAGGCAGCAACAGAGGATTCTGAATATAAACCTTCAGAGTATGTGGTCTGTTTTTTAGGAGGGTCTGAAAAAGGACTTGAGCTATATCCTTTCACTGGTCTTTGGGAATATTAAAAAGGAAATCTTGGGAGGTGACTGGAAGAATATTATTACCAACCTCCAGAAAGCTTTTCTATTCCTTTCACATTTACTTGAATTCCATGACTTCATAAAGCCCTTTTGTCTTGCCTTGTTTTAATTTACAACTTGTACTGTTTGGGAGATTTTGTATTTCCTTTTGGGAGGTAAAGATATTATTTTCATTCATTCTTTATTACTTCCTTAAGAATATACCTTCAGGCTTGAGTTGGACAAATACATTCAAGGGCTTAAAAGTAACATGAATTGTGAGGTATGATGTTTAAGACTGAGTTGATTAATCGACTGCTGTACTATTAAATCATAGGTGGGACACAGTCCTAAAAACTTGCTACTTTGTGTGCAAATGCAATGATGATTCTTTTTTTTAAAAAAAATTATTTTTCATTTCAATGAACATCTATAGAGATTTTGGAATTCCATTCATGGAATGATGATTCTTAAAGGAAATAGGAAATAAAGTCCTATAAATGCTAAAAGTTTTGCAAGACTGCTTCGCAAGTTTTGTAGATGTGAAAAATTTAGTCTGTTGACTTCAATGGCATGTGGTATTGTGCCAGGTGAGGAAGAGGATCCTCTTCTGGTCCCTAAACCTGTGAGATTTATATTCTGGTCAGAACCAACAGTCCAGGTAGTGTCTGGTATCAGAGACAATGCTGTGCACTGACATGGTAGTCCTTGAATGCCACCACCTCAGAGGTTTTCAGGAACATTCCATTTTTCATTAGTTGATCTTTGATGAATTAGATATATCCATATTGATTTTATCCAAACCTTTGATGCACTGTGCTTTCAGTTTGTGACAGTTAAGGTCCTTACACTCATAAATTTATTGCTCATTACATATAGTAATAACTCCCTCTGTTTGACATGTCCTCACAAGATACTGCAGGAGGAGAGGAAAGATTAGTGTAGGAATAACCAGAACTCTGAGTCTGGGGGAGCTTCTGTCCCAGATTGGAGCTGTTCCTGTGTGACACAAGTCCTCAGAGAACAGTATACCCAGGAAAGCAGATGTGATGTGCTCACAGACAATATGTCTGATAACTGGAGTGGACTCCAGTATTTGAGGAGTTAACTTGTATCTTTCCTGTTTGTATTTTTTTTATTATTAAATTTTATTAGTTTTAATGAACATTTACAGGGATTTTGGGTTTTCGTTCCTTCATTGCTGCACCATTCTCTCTACCCTCCTCCCCAGTTTGTTCTTCTTCCCTGCGATCCGAATGTCTGTTTTAATTGTCCAATTGCCACAGTGCTTGTCAAAGTCAGTTCTGATTAATCTCCTTTGTTGGTGTGTCCTTTGCCATTCCCTATCACTCCTCCCTGAGAGAGACTTCACCCTGATTCATAAGGAAAAGGGAATGGCGTATTCTCTTAGCTACTTCCTGCTGAAAAGGGACGCTGTGGGTTTCAGGGTGAAGATCTTCTCTCACTACTCTAAAGGGCCCCTTTGGCAGTAGGAAACACATAGATTATTATGGAGATTGATTTTGGAATTTAGATGCACTCTTATTGATTGTGCTTGGCCGTACATGTTCATATCCTTGAAGATGTATCATGGGGGTGTTGCAACCTAGAAGACACAAATTTGACTAACAAGTTATAAGTACATGAGTCAAAAATTATGTAAAAGTAAAAGAAAGGATTCTTTCATTGTTTTACAAACCCTCCCCCAGGTTCCCTCCACCATGCAGCCCTCGCTCTAGACTCCTGTGATGACAGAAATACCTAGTCATATATCTCTTTTAAACAGTTTTCTCCCTCCTCTGTTTCAGTGCAGTATACATTATTGAACCCATCTTACTCAGTCTCTCCCCAACCCCAAGGACAGTCCCATTCTACAACAGTGGCATCATGTAATATTTGTCCTTTTGTGACTGGGATATTTCACTCAGCATAATGTTCTCCGGAGTCAACCATTTTGAATAATATTGCATGAGTTCCTTGTTTTTTAATGCAGCATAGTATTCCATTGTGCGAATATACCACAGCTTCTCTAGCCATTCGTTTGTTGATGGGCACTTAGGTTGTTTCCAACTCCTTGCTATTGTGAACAAAGCTGCAATAAACATGGGTGTGCATATATCTGCTTGGATGTCAGCTATGGTCTCTTCAGGGTATATTCCCAGTAGTGGAATTGCTGGGTCAAATGGTATCTCTATTTGCAACTTTTTGAGAAAGCGCCATACTGCTTTCCACAGGGGTTGCACCATTTTACACTCCCACCAACAGTGAATCAGGGTTCCAGTTTCTCCACAACCTCGCCAGCATTTGTTGCTTGCTGTTCTGTTAAATTTTGCTATTTTGACTGGGGTGAGATGATATCTCATAGTTGTTTTAATTTGCATCTCTCTTAGGGCTAGGGATTTTGAGCATTTCTTCATGTGCTTGTTAGCCATCTGAATGTCGTCTTCGGTGAAGTGCCTGTTCATATCCTGTGCCCATTTTTCTGTTGGATTATTTACCTTTATCTTGTTGTGGTGCTCAAGTATTTCATAAATTCTGGATATAAGTCCCTTATCTGATATGTTATTACCGAATACTTTTTCCCAGTCAGTGGCTTCCCTTTTTACCCTACTGGAGAAGTTTTTGGATGTGCATAGGGATTTGAGTCTTAGAAGATCCCATTCATCTATGTTATCTTCTCCTGGTTGTAGTTTCCTGTTTGTATTTTGAGATTGAATGAACTTTGCACTCCTCCAGTCACTGAACAAAGCTCATAAGCTTGTAACATGGATGTTTTAGATTGTATACCAGGAACTGAGAAAAGCAGGCATTGTTGAAAGGGGGTATCTATAAAGGGAGTATGGTGGGGAAGATTGTCATGTAAATGTCCAACTTCTCCCAGTGAAGAAATAGCATGGAACTCTATTAATACATAAATAGAGTACATTTCCTGACATGTTTTTTAAGAAATCTGGAACAGAATTAATCTCTTCCCTGCCCAACAACCCCAGGAAATGTATAATCTCCCAGTTCCTTTTTTTTTTTTAAAGTTTATGATGTTCTTTTTAAAAAGGAAATTTTTGTCTTGGTTTTTTCATTGTCAGAAAAGAAATGTTAAATCAACTCGGGTGAAGGTTTATGCTGAAGCAAATCCATTCTGTTTTCCTGTAGGAAAGTGGCCTGGAGGACCACATACAGTCCTACCTGAGCAGCTGGTTTGAGGATGTTGTATGTCCAATCCGAAGGGTGGTTCTTCTCTTTCAGGAAAAGCTTACCTTTCTGCTACACGCTGTGAGTATTGGCCAAACAAAAGCATTCACTGCTTCAAGAATCACTTTACAACTACAATCCCAGAGGCACACGGTTCGAATCCACCAGATGCTCTGCCGGGAAAAGGAGGGACAATCTCCTGTACCAGTCAGATCTGATTTGACGGTACACTCACACAAAAATAAAAATTAAAAAAAAATCACTTTGGAAGAATTTACATCATTTAATGACATCACACATTTCTCTCTATTATTCCTTTTTCCCCTTGAATTTTTGTTGAAACTTTGCTTGCTATGAAGATAGACTACTCTTTATTTACTCAGGTTCAGAAAGTTAGCTTGTAAATTGCAAATGTTAAGTCTTCCTAATAGCATAACACACTTAAAAGTAGGGAGCTCTGGTGGCCTAGTGGCAAGAAGCTGCATTGCAATCCCAGAGGTGCATGGTTCAAATCCACCAGATGCTCTGCTGAAGGAGGGACAATCTTCTGTACCGGTCAGATCTGATTTGATGGTACACTCACAAACAATTAAAAAAAAAAACAAACCAAAAAACAAAACAAAACACTTAAAAGTAACTACCTTGTTAAATACTTTCTTACAGTTGTAAAAAAAATCCAAAAACCTCTTTGAAATTAATGATCTAAGAGTGGTATAATTTCCAAAACAGTTTGAGAAGAGAAAGAAAAATCCCAAGTGATTTTAACTGCATAAAAAACATGCAGATGGGGGAGGGAGAAGGCAAGCAAAACCAAACTAGACTAAACAAACAAACAAAAAATGCACATAAAATTAAAATTCACCCACCTATTCAAATAATAGCAGTGGCTTGAATGAATGCATGGTTTTTCATTTTATGATGTGAGTCGATGTTGAGGCTGGAGACTAAGGCCACAAGGCCAGGTCTTCCCTCCAGTGAACAGCAGCTGAACAGTAAGAAACACTAGAATATGTGTATGTCAATCACTCACTCAGGGCTGTTGAGTCAGTACTGATGCATGGTGACCCTGCATCGGGTTTACCAGGCTGTCAGCAGCGAGAGGAGACTGCCTGTCTTCGGCAGAGCCTCTGGTGGATTCCAACCATAAGCTTGCTTCAGGATAGGACCACAACATACTACGGACTCTACTTCCAGAGCTCCCTAAAGAAATGTATATAAAGAAATCTAGATAGCAGGCTTTGTTTTTCTCTTCTAGGCTCTGAGTTATACTCCTGTGGAGGTCAAAGGATCAGATGAAAAAACAGAGAAAGACATTAACAGGTAAAGAACATGGCTTCCACCTGGAGAGAACCTGTTGCACACAGCCTGATTTTTACTAAAATCTTCCGAATGCAGGATGACTTTCCCTTTCTCCCCTGGTCTGTAATGTTGTTTGTGGAAATGCATTTGCGTGTGTCTGTGTGACAGATTTCTGAGTGTGGCCAGTCTTCAAGGACTTATTCATGAAGGCACCATGACCTCTTTGTGCATGGCCATGACCGAGGAGCAGCATGAGTCCATGGTTATAGATTGCAGCAGCTCCTCGCCTCGGTTCTACAATGCAGGTGAGCTGCAGTCTTTGAAACAGCCTTCCCAGCTCCTTGTGAGTCTTCACATTTGCATTGAGAAAGATGGTCCAGTTACTCTTGCTGCCTTATGCAGTTTTATATGCCTATCCGAGATTTGCTGAAAACAGTGACAGTTTTCAAAACATGGAAATAATGTGATACCTCACAGTTCCACTCTTAGAAATAAAGAGCATCTCTTGTAAATCTATATAAGGAAATGTATACAGAAGTGTTTATAAAGTCATCATTTGAAATAGTAAAGAATTGGAAGCTACCTAAATGTCCATCAGCATAAAAATTTATAATCAGCCATATTCATACAATGGATTACTGTACAGTGGTGAAAATAAGTGAACTAGAATAACACATACCAATATAGATCATAAACATTCTATTAAGACAGTCTATTACAGTGAACCTGATAGTTGCTAAGGATGGTTGTGGCTTTGGTGTAGTGGCCACAGGGAAGGGGTGGCAGCACTATCTGGGGATTCATGAAGCTATATTTGTGGAAAATGTAGATTCCTTCATGAAACAGCCTGAGAATGAGACTGCAGATACAGAACTCAAGTTGGAGGCACAAGACCAGGAGTATAAGTTTATCAAACTCAACCTTATCTAAAAGGAAAGGAGGCTGAAAGGTCAGATTCCAGATATTAAGCAGATTTTAGAAATTCTTAAATATGTGCAGAAGGAAAAAGTCCATCTATTCACTGGAGACCAGATTCTTATTGGCAGATAATCTGTACTGCAAAGCTTCTGTTTCTCCTACTGATAAAGTCTGTGTTTGGGGGCTGATGTTATGCTTGGATATGATACTGATGAAACTCAGGCACTGTTGGAAAAGAACTTATCAACTGCCACAAAAAGAATCTTGATTCCTTGAGGAAGAACTAAACTTTCTTCGAGATCAGTTTACTGCCACAGAAGTCAGTATGGCCCAGGTTTATAATTGGGATGTAAAAAGAAGAAACAAAGATAATTTTACCAAGAACAATGCATAATGCTGGCAATTAGAAAAGTAGTCATCCTGTACCAGTCAGCGATTTGATGGTGGTGGTTGTTGTTGTTAAGTGCCATCGAGTCGCAGGCGACTCATAGCGACCCTATGAAGGAGAATACTCGACGCTTCCTCCTCTCTCCAGGTTCATAGGGTTTCCGGAGGCAAGCTATTATGGAAGTGGATTGCCACTCCTCCCTCCAAGCAAGTTTTAATCAAGGAGCTCCACCCCACTCTCTGTCCGCATTGGGTAGCCAACCGTTAACGCATTTGACACATCAGTGTCAAAGTGTTCAGCCTCACAGCAACCAAAAGTGACCGTGGTAAGGCAACTTGTACACCACAGCTATATGACCTAGAGGAATGTCTGAACAAAAACAATGAAAGACAGGCCTGAAGGCCGCAGATTAAAAGTCACCCACCTTTGGCTTGGTAGCATCGGATTTGATGGTACACGTACAAAAAATAGTAAAAAAAAAATAGTTGTTTTCCAAATATATGTTATTTTAAGCTCCTCTAGATTTATCTTTAAAGATTGGAATAACATTGAATGATTTCTTTTTAAAGTAGCAAGAATGAGGATTAAAACTTTTTTAAAAGATAAACACCGTTTTACTTATTTATAAAAACAATAATTTCCAGTTGTAGTGTTGTTGTTATGTGCTTTCAAGCGGCTTACAACTCATAGCAACCCTATGTACAATAGCTCTGAACCCTGCTCTGTCCTGAGCCAACCTTAATGTCTCTGACACACATACTCCTTTGACCTCAGTCACTGAATCAGTTCATCTCATCAAGGGTCTTCCTCTCCTATGCTGTCCTTCTACCCTCCCATGCTGTCCCTCTACCCTCCCAAGCATAATGTCCCTCCCCAAGGACTGATTCCTCCTTGAAACATGCCCAAAGTGTGTGAGCTGGAGCTTCAGAATCCTTGCCTCCTAGTAGCAGTCTAGTTACACCCTCTCTAGGATGAGCCTGTGGTGATGAAGGAAGAAGTTCAAACTGCTCTGAAAGAATTGACAAAAAACAAGGCTCCAGGAATTGACAGCATACATACCAATTGACACATTTGAACAAACACACGCTGCCCTGAATGCACTCACCAAGTTGTGCCAAGAAATCTGGAGGACAACCACTTGGCCAACTGATTAGGAGAGTGTTATATTTGTTCTCATTTCAGAGAAAGATGACCTGACAGAGTGCAGAAATTATAGAACAATATCATTAATATCATATACAAGCAAAATTCTGCTGAAAATGAACCAAAAATGACTGGAACAACACATCAACAGAGAACTGCCAGAAATGCAGTCTGGCTTTAAAAGAGGCCATGGTACTAGGGCTATTATAGCTAATGTTAGATTGATCTTGGTTAAAAGCGACTTGGGATTGCAGTGCAAAGGATCACCTAGAACTCTTGACAAACTTAGTTTTATATTTATTAACAGTTCTCCAAAGCAGTTTAATAGAAATATTAAGATAAATCTCAATATGCAGTTGAAATAATTGTAAGCTTTTTAAATTCATCATAAAGCCTAGAATTAATATAAAAATTCCTGTAGAAATCAATTGGTATAGTGATTATTGCTGGATGATAAGATTCTGGCAAACATGCAAATATATTATTATTCCTCTCTCCATGTACTAAAACCTCATATATATTTTGTACTTGTATTTTATAATATTAAAACAATGGAGTTAAAAAAATACAGAAAGTTTTAACATACTCAAAATACTATTATACTGGGATTTTTTGTGTTGTGTACCATCAAGTCAGAACCGACCCATAGCTGACCCTTCAGCAGGTTTTCAGAGGCAGTTAATAGCACGGGAGGAGAGTGCCCATCCTCCTCCTGCACAACAACTGACGGATTGAGCCTTTGGAATTGCTGTGCAGTTTCTTACCACTGGGCCAACAGAGCTTCCTATACTGGGCGTTAGAGATATAAAAAATATGTAGTAAAAATAAAAAGAAATGCATAAGAATGATAATTCTTTCTTAGGAGAATGGAAGGGAATGTGATTAAGGAGGCCATGCTGTTTAGCAGAGGGTGTTTAAACCATTTTGGTATTCCTTATCAGGCAATGTATATGTAAGTATGGATGGTGTTTTATTTAGATTATTTAAGACTGGTATAGAAATCTTAAATGATATATTATCAGTGTTTTTAGAAAGCAAAATAAAAGTACGGTCTGCTTTGTAGAATTATATTTTTATCTATTTATTCAAGTTTTCCAATATATTTTGCAGGAAGCAACCGGTTTTGTGAGGATTGGATGCAGGCATTTTTAAATGGTGCTGAAGGGGGCAATCCTTTTCTTTTCCGACAAGTACTGGAGAACTTTAAATTAAAGGTAATTAATTGCCTGTGTACCAGGTACCACAGTTCTCATTTGAATTTTAATTAGCACCAGTGACAACATAACAAATCTGCTTTGCAGCTGTCTTATCTACTACGTAGGGGTACATAGAAGACTATTCAGAAGGCATTTATTTTATTTGTTGTTCAGTGGCTTCTGCATACGTAGCCTCTTATTAATTTGGTTTATATACTTGCATTTAAGGAGTTAAAAACCCCAAGCCCACTGCCACTGAGTTGATTCAGACTCATAGTGACCCTGCAGGACATAGCAGAAGTGCCCCTGGGGTTTCCAAGGCTGTAAATGTTTATGGAAATCCACTGCCTCATATTTTTCCTGCTGAGTTCCTAGTGATGGGTTTGAACTGCTGACCTTCTAGTAACCTTTTGCTAAATTTTTTTGGTTAGCAGCTAAATCCTTTAACCACTACCCAACCTGGGCTTCTTTTATATGTAAGGCACAGCCGTCTTTTAATTTGTGATATATCTTGGTTGCAAAGCACAATCCAGTTGAGTGCCTAAGTGATCAAAATTTTGGGTCGGGGTTGGGTGACAGGGGAGTATTGTTACCTTATCTAGGAGACTTTTTTTCTCCAGTTATTTTTATTTTATATAGAGCTTTTGTTCTACCAAAGACAAAACTTGTTAGTGATAAGAAATGATAGAAATACTTAAACTAAAAAAGCAAATATCCCAGGAACATGTATATTCTCAGATAGGAAATATTTTTCAAGCTTCATTATTATTTCACTACACATTTAACTGGGTAATCTTTTTCTAGGCCATACAAGACACAAATAATTTGAAAAGATTTCTCCGCCAGGCAGAAATGGATCATTATGCTTTGTTTAAATGTTATATGTTCCTAAAGAACTGTGGTAGTGGAGATATCCTTTTGAAGATTGTTAAAGTGGAACACGAAGAAATGCCAGAAGCCAAAAACGTGATTGCTGTCCTTGAAGAATTCATGAAAGATGTGCTTGCCCAAAGTTGATCACATGTTTTGAGATAATTGTCTTATGAAGCATTCCAGCTTTGGTGTTTGAAATTGCAGTTGTTATAATTGTTCCTAGAATTGCTGTTTAAGATTATTTGAAACTCATTTCAGGTTTGTTTTTCTTTTGGAATTTTAAAATTCACTTAATTAAACTTAAAAATCTAAGGAACCTCTTCCCTGAGTGCTAGCTAGATATCTGTGTTAAGTATATTGCTGTAATTTTAGTATATTGATGGGCCTGTGAATTATAGACTTTGGAAGTTGTAACTTAAAAAATGTCACAGGTAATTCTGTGGCTTCTCTCGGAAGTTTGCTTCAGTTGTTAGCAACTTTTTCTCTCAAAAAGATCACATTACTTTCTCTTTTAATGGTTTGTAGTTTATTTAAGAAAAAAAAATTAATCCTAAACTTAGGATAGGTTAGTGCCACTAAACCATTCCAAAGAAAGATCTGTGAACTCCGTGGGTGCTTGATACATTTTTTTTTTCTTTTTTGTCTGTTTGACAAAGGTGGTGATGATGAACCCAGTACTTAAGTCAATAAATATGTAAATAAGTCATGAGTGAATAAGAAGTTAAATGAACCTAAGAACTATCTGTACTAACTAAGATCAGATGTCTCTGGTAGAAAGCACCATAGATGTGACCTCCAGCAACACATTGCTTCATTTTGTCACAGATATTTGCCTGAGCGTCCCTCTTCTTTCTTCTAGATGGAAATGTTGGTTTTAAACAAAGTGTGTTTAGGGGGCGTCCCTCTTCTTTCTTCTAGATGGAAATGTTGGTTTTAAACAAAGTGTGTTTAGGGGGAAATAACAAAGAACACAGATTCATCACTTCAGAGCTGCCCATTGATTTTAGTTTTTTGAACATTCGTTACTGACCTCAGATTGTTTCACTCTGGATCAATTGAAAAGTGCCCTCAGCTATTATAATTCCCATAGAATTCAATTGTAGTTGCACCCATATGATTATAACTTCTTCTTTGTAGCTCTTTATTACCAAATCTGTTTTGATGAAAGTTTTTGTTGAGAAAGTGAAATCAGTCCTAGATGTCCTCAGGATGTTCAGAGGAACACAAGCCTGTTAACACTGAGGAATCTTCTTAAACGGATCAGATTCCCATTAAGTGCTGAGTGAACTTCCAGAATGACTGACAATGGCTGCCTGCTTGCTTCTCTGTGTTAAATCTAGGGCTATGACTCACTGAGCCATTTCTTTTGCTTTCATGAGAAATACAATTCAGGACCTTCAAAAGGCTTTCATATGTCTTTAATCTTTAATCTTAGATTGAAAATCTAAGTAGCATTTTTCTTTTAACATTAAATTCAGATGACTAGAAACTCAGTATTTTTTATGACCCTTGTATCTGTCTTGGTTGTCTACTTGGTTGTCCACTTAGAAATCTTTTTTATGAGGATTATTAATTTTTAAGATATTTTATTGAGGTTTGGGTGAAAGCTTGTAAACTACTTTCCATTCCATGATTTGTAAACATTTTCTCCTATGACATTAGTTATGATCCCCTCAATCTAACAGCATTCTTCCTACTTCTTCCCTTGGTTCCCTGTTTCCATTCACCCACCTGTCCTGCTGTTGGAACTTTGGTTTTGAGCAAATGCTGCCCATTTAGCCTTGTACAGTTGGTGGTTCTGAGCCGTACCGTCCTCATGGCTGTTACTGTTCACATTACAGACCTGTCTGTTGCTTGGCTGAGAGGTGATCCCCAGAAGTGGATTCAGTTCCAGATCCGAAGACTCTAGGACCATAGTCTTGTGGGTCCTACCAATTTCCATCAGTCTAGTCGTCTTCTGTTTTTGAATTTAATTTTCTGTTTTTCTCCTACTCTATCTAGTAGGCCCTTCTATTATGATCCTGATCAGGTGGTTGGTGGAAATAGCTGGGCACCTCTGGCCCCTGATGGATAGTGAAGGCTCTTGTTCATCGGATCTGTTAGTCCTCTGGGTTAATTATTTCCTTGACATTTTTTAATTTTCTTCACTCTTTGTTCTATATTTTCTAATTAGCAGCATTAGGACATCAAAAATTTTGAGCCTGGCTTGGAAAGCCAATTTTAAATTTAGCTTGTTATTTGGAAGCAGGAGTGGCATCCACTTCCTAAACAACATGCCTCTGGAAACTCTGTGAACTTTGATAGATGTCAATCATTATAAAAAGGCTTCAGGTCTTTTGTTCTAGGGTCACTATGAGTCATGCTTGACTTGAAGGCAATCAACACATTCAAAAGTCTATGTTCTCAATGGCATTTAAAAGCCAATATCTACTTCATTTATAGATATAGCAAGGTATAATGATACATTTTTTATGTGCTTATATGTATAGTAATTTTGGGTCTCTGTATTACACAGCTGTATACATACAATACAGTCTTATTTTAAACTATCACTACAGTAGGCGAGGGAAATGGTCACATGAAATTATCTTGTTGACCATGAGCAGAAATTGTTCATGACCAGAAACAGACTGTTTTTATCATTTTAATAAGTTAATGTATTACCTTGTAAAGAGTTTTAAAAGGATTTGTATAGACCTGGAGTAAATGTATGTTTATGTATTATGCTACACATACAGAGGAAAAGTATGTTTGTCATGTATCAAAAACAGGTTTCAGTTTATCTGTAGTTATGCCTATAATAATAAAGAACTTAGTTTCTAATCAAGCCAGTAATTTTTATTTAATAGGTTCAATTCTCAAGCCTACTGCTTTTAATTCCCAGCAAGTTTATGGGGGGAGGTGTACCTGTTATGTGAAAAAATTTGCAGCAGACAGTCCAATCACCTGCTGGGATATAGCTTCCTGCATCTTTAGCACCAGGCAGGTTGCAAGAGCAATTTCCTTTACAATGTTTTATTCATTGTCCAGTAAAGTTACACCCATAGAACTCAAAAACTCAACTCACTTCCTTTCACTTTCATTCATTATTAACAGTGACAGAATGCCTGTCATTTACCAGAGGATCACTTATACCAGATGCTACAAAAGCCTGCAAGCTTTTCGGAAATGAAGTTCCATTACTAGGCCCCATTTTCCTAACCGTGTGTCTTCTCAGTTAATGGAAACCCCGTTGGCTTCAGTGAAGTCTTTCCACTTGGAGGTTTTAGAGGCGGCTCTATTTCTGTAGCTGCTGAACTTCCTAAATGTGCTTTGCAGAATTTTAAATCATAGGCAGATCACAGAGGTAGTGTAAATGCCTGTTTTCTGCAAAGTGGAAGTAATAGGGAATAGTAATAAATTGATATTTGTAGCTTTTTGCTAAACTATTAGGAGGCCCAGCAAAATGGAGTGCCTGTCAAGTGAACACTAAGTGTTTTTAGGACTCATTACCAGAACTAGAGGACCTTTTGAGAGAAAGATGGACAGCTTCCTCCCATGTGATTTACAGCCGCGGAATACTCACTGGATGGTCAGCTAAGATTTAGTTCCAATTTGATGGCAATGAAGTGAGTTTGAGAGAACCCCAGACTTAATGCGGAGGGCCTGGCCCTTTACATACACACCTAGCTTCCACATGTGGGTGTCCTTGGGCTCTCACACAAACTCCGAAAAGCTGCTCCAGGGAAGAAAGATGTACAGCCGTGGCAACCCAATGGAGAGCTACTATGAGTTGGAATCGACTTGAAAGCAGTGATTTGGCATGTGACCAGACCATGCCCTTCTTACCCTAAGAACATTCCTAGTCCATTCTTAAGGTCAAGGTGGTGCCTTCTTACCCCTTGAAAGCTTGAAAAGCTAGGCTGTTGAGGTACAGGAGGAAGGAAGGATCTAGGATATTTCAATGAGTTCTCCAGGTGTCAGAGTAGAATTGTGCCCCCTGGGGGTTTTGGTGGCTGGTTTTTCAGAAGCAGATTGCCAGGCCCGTCTTCCATGGTTACCTTTGAGTGAACTCAACCTCTTACCTTTCTGTTAACAGCTGAGCACATTAATAACTGGCATCACCCAGTGTCTCCACAGGCCCTGTGAAATGATATACAAAACCATGTGCATTTTCATGAAAAAGAGCTTTTAGCCTTTCAACCACTCAAGATTGTCTAATGAGTCAAAAATGGTTACGAACCTCGAAAGACCAGCATCCTGCACTGATATCTCATGGACCTTAGAAACTGTAGGTCCACCACCACTGCAGCTGTTCAACCCTCTCCCAACAGCCTTGACCCAAACCCAGTAGAAACAGGCTTCTGTGACAGCTCTTCAGGTCACTTTTTGCAGAACCAATGGCTTAAAAAAAAATCTTTAATGGAATCTGTGCTCAAATAATATGTTACAACAAAAATATACAGAATGTACACAATACAAAAATATTTAGAAACAAACATTGCAGCTTGTGTTTCTTTTCGGTTTTCAATGGACTCCAGTCCTTGGAGGGGAATTCACAGATCGGCACTGTAATTTAAGGCAGAGGAGCATTGGGCATATTCCAGCCAGCACTGGGGGCTGCGGCAAGGGTCTACATGGCACCTGGGAATCTGCATTGTTTGCAAACTAAATTGGACACTGGGGGAAGATCTGGGCTTGGCAAGCAGTGACTGTCCTAACCCGCGAGCAAGAATGGTTCTCATGGAAATTGACAGTCCTATTAGCTGGCAAAAGAGCCTCATTAGGGAGCTTTTCCTAATTAAAAAACGAATGATTAATGATGTCATTAAAAGGAAATGTCTCCTTTGAAGGTTTGTTTTCCTTTCCCCAGTTTCTGCGATTCCTCTTCCATTTAACGAGCAAGCTGGAGCCAGCTTGCTGCTGCCGCTTAGGGATTCCCTGGTTCTCAATTTCTGTATCCCGTGGATTAAAGGCTGACCTCCCTCCAGCCTGAAGATTTGGATGATTCACTTGCTTCACAGCATGAGGCTGGGCAGCCATACTGGAAGAAGATGGTGGGAGGGAGAAAAGGGGACTGCCTGCCTCACTAATGGGCAGTACTGCTGGGGCAGAGGGGCTTAGGAGGGAAGGGCGAACTAGTGGACCGGACCTGCGGAGGAGAAAACCAGACACCAAACAGTAAACCTTTTATACCAGACAGCTGTCTCTCAGCCCTGGGTCCTGTGAGGCGACTCAACTGTCACAAGTAAGAGGGTGGCAGGATGGGTGTTACCAATGACCTTTTGACTTGCTTACTGCTGACAAGAACAGCAGGGGCATGGAGGGTAGATGAGGT